GTGATGGTGAATTCCTTCAGCGTTTATCTGGAAATTGTTGAATTCTTCCTTCAAATTTAAATGATAATCTCACCTAGTAGAGGATTCTTGGTTGGAGGTCATTCTGTTTCAGTACATTAAATACATCGCGCCCCTCCCTTCTGGCCTGTCAGGTTTCTGCTGAGAAGTCTGCTGACAGCCTGATGTGGTTTCTTTTATAAGAAATCTTTTTTCTCTCTCTGGCTGCTTTCAATACTCTCTCCTTATACTTGATCTTTGCCATTTTAATTATTATATGTCTTGGTGTCATTTTGCTGGGGTTCCTTTTTTTAGGGGATCTCTGTACTTCCATAACCTGAGTGTCTATTTCCTTCCCCAGTTGGGGAAGTTTTCAACAATTATTTCCTTAAAGAGATTTTCTATCCCTTTCTCTCTCTCTTCTGCTTCTGGTGCCCCTATTATGCAAATATTGTCTTGTTTGGTCACATAGCTTGCTTATCATTCTTTCATTCCTAGAGATCCTTTTTTCTCTCTGTTCCTCAGCTTCTTTGTTTTCCTGCCTCTAATTTCCATTTCATTTACCATCTCCTCTACATGATCTCATCTACTTTTAAATCCCTCCATTGTATGTTTCATCTCAGATACTGTGTTCTTCAGCTCCGAGTGGCTCTTTTTCAGGTTTTCTATTTCTTTGTTGGAGTCCTCCCTGAGATCTTGAATACTTTTCTGTAAATCCATGAGCATATTTATGACTTTTATTTTGAAATCTTTACCAAGAAGATGGTGATCTCTGTTTTATTTAGCCCTCTTTCTGGGGTTCTATCTTGTAGTTTTTATTGGATTAAATTCCTCTGCCTGCTCATTTTATAAGGGATTCTGTGCTCCTTCCTTTGTTTTAGGTGTCTCTGCTATGCTTTCTGGCCTACAGAGTAATAGGTTTCTGAAGAAGGTGTGCTGTGGTGCCCAGAAGCTCTAGATTCCTTACTCTCTAGCACCTGGCTCTATTTTGTGGGGGCCCCGGCTGTGGGTGTGCCATGGGCAGGGCCACCTGTCTGTCTGGCTTCTGTAGTGGCTTAAGTCTGGGCAGGCAGTTTGCTTGAGCTGCTGCCTGTGATCAGCTCAGGGATCTCTGTTGAGCTCGCTGTGGGTGAGGCCGTCCTCTGCCTGGCCTGCAGCAATGGCAGGGCTTCAGGGCTAATGGGGTGGGTGGACAGACATGTCCCGGCTGGACCCCCAGCACTGGGTTTGGAAGCCCGCCGGGAGGAAGGAGCTCCTGTGTTTGGCTCCTCCAGGCAGCTCTCTGGTCGGGCTGAAATGGAGCCAAGCAAGCTGGGAGGGTCTCCCTCTGCCCACCAGGCAGCAAAGTCTGATGCTGCCACTGGGCCAAGTGGGTTGGTTCCCCCAGTGCCCAGGGAGGAGCCTTGGGGCTGTGTTGCCAGCAAGGGGGATGGAGCATCTGGAGCTCCTGCGGGCTCCCCATCTGCTGGGCTGAGGAAGGGCTGGGGAGGTGTCTCCACTTGCCCTCTCTCCTGAAGAGTCAGTTCTGCACCACTCTTGTCCCTCTGCCCCCTCCCACTGCTCACCAGTCGTGTCTTAGGTCTGGCCGAACATGCCTGCCCTCCATACCAGCTGGAGTCTCGGCCTCCCGCAGTGCTCCACCTGCCCCTCGTGTCCAGCCCTGACAACCACCAGAACCCAGTGCAGTGTGGACTTGGGCTCCCAGAGCAGATGTCCAGGGCCAGGTGTGCAATGCCCCTGGGCTCCGACGCCCTCCCTGCCCTGTCCCTCCTTCTCCCGCCTGCGGGGTGGGGTGTCTCGGCTCTGCCGCTTCACCCCCTTTGTGTGTCTCCTCTCTCCCTCCTCAGGTGCAGGGTGTCTGTGCTGCAGTCTTCAGGCCGTTTTTAGGTCTAGTTGCATTTGCTGTATTTTCCTCTTTTATGTGTTTTTGGGAGGAGGTTTCTGTCTTGCCTTCCTATTCCACCAACTTTAATCCTTCATCTCTCAAAGCACAACTTTTATACCATTTAATTTAAAATAGATAAAATCATAAACCATATAACAAAAACAGCAAATTCGACCAAAGGCAAACAGAAACATAACAGGAGGGAAGGACTGTTCTGGTAGGGGAGCAGGTGGACTGAGTGGTTGGGGAGCTGGTGCTGAGGGCGGGGCTGGAACAGGCTGTCCCTGCAGGAGTGCAGGGTCCTCAGTGGGCCCTGGGTCCCCTGAAGAGGCAGGTGCAGGAGCAGGGGCTTGCTCTCCCTAAGGGGATGTGGGGTCCTGACCCAGTTCTGGGTCCCCTGCAGAGGCGATATAGCAGAGGAAAACTGAATTAAATCCCTGGGTTTAGAATTCAACAGGAAGATTAACTGGAAAATGAACTCATGTAGCCCCCGAACCTTGTAACGATTGACAAGGGGCAGTTTCTTTCTGTTCTCCCTATTATCTGTTTCGGGTCAGAGGCAGCGCAGTGATTCTGCAGAACCCAAGATGCCCTGGCCCGGGGCTCTGAGGAGGGCCGATGCTCGTGAACGCCCGGCCTGCCCCACGATTCCCCTTTAAAGCCCTGACTGCTGTGCTTCGGGGGTACAGGGGCTCTATAGGGCTCTAGCCCGCCGCTCCCTCTTTTGCCGGCAAATTAACAAACTGTTCCTTTCCTCTCCTGAAAATCTCGTGTTTGTGGTTTGTGACTTGACTTTGGTGACAAGGACTGGTTTTCAGTAGCAACACTCTGGGGAGCCCGCCAGGGGTGTCTCTGCAGCCGGTGGTGCGGTGCCCTGTCCTGGGACCTCCAGCAGGCAAAGTGGTGGGCTGCGGTGGCCCCCGGGGCAACCAGGCAGCTGTGGGTGGGGAGGAGGGGCCGTCGGAGAGCGGGGCGCCCCCAGCGAGCACGCTGCCACCTCGAGGAGGAGATCGGGACTGTTCTCCATATATCCTTGGGGTCCTCCTTGTCAAACCCGTGAACCAAATAAGACTTTTCATCAGAAAAGGACTAATCTGGTTTGTTCAATTTAAATCAAAGTGTTAAAATGCTTTTCCAGGGATGTTAAAGAAGAAAACCACTGAGAAATAGATATATAAAATTATATAAGATAAATTCCTGAAGGCAATAAAGATTTAAAACATGTAGACTTAATATAGCTGATTGACCCGCTTTATAATATGCAGGTAAGAGAAAATGAGTCCGGATCTGATTTTCTCTGTAACAACTTGATGAGGAGAATATAAAGCATTTGTATGCGTATGTGTATATTGAACATTATTCCAGGGCTGCAGGGTGAACTAAGAATTAAGCATAAAAATCGCTAAAAAAAAAAGCCAGCCTTCACTAACTCTGTGAAGCATCGTGATGAAAGTTTCCTTTGTGATTAATGAAAAAGAAAGGTATGTGTTGCTAAGACCCGAGCAGCCTGGTAGCTGGCACCCTGCAGTGTGTTTGCAGTACATTTAGAAATACTCATTTGTAGGAAACTAGAACTTGGTACAGAAGCAAGTACCTTGTTTGGCTCATGAAATGCAGTCGGTCTATCACCTGAACGTGGAGGGGAGGGAGCGTCAGGGAGGCACGCGGTATTCACGGGCCACAAAGTGTCCACCTGTGCCTGACTTCCATTTTGGCCCATTTCCTGCTGGACATGCAGGTCAGAGGCCAAATGCACTTAGTCTATGGAGTGAGTTGAATTCTGCGTTTATACAATGTTACCTTGAGCAGTAGCCACTGGGCCTCCAGGACCTGGGCTTTGAAACGGGCCTGGCGACCAGACCAGTGTCCCTGACTCGCTGGCCTCCTGGGGCAGTTCCCTCTGCCTTTAGGAAATGATTTGTTAACGATATGGGTAATTATTTTAACTATTTTCAACCTTAATTAAGACTTGACTGATGAACACTAATACTGCTTAAGCAGCTGCTCTCCCCGGCAGTCCATAGGCCCTCTGGTCTTCCAGCGTCTGTCCCTCCCGTCCCACGGACCCCCGGCACCCACTGTGCTCACACGCCCCCTCCCTGGAAGGCCTGCCGGGGAGCCTACCCCACATGGCCCAGGACACCCACGAGGAAGTGCTGTCCTGCGGACTGAATTTGTAAAGGGGGTGTCACCTCAATCTTTTCTCAGAAGCTTAATATGTTTTTTTAAAATATAATTTATTTGCATTTAAATGTGGTTTCTATTGTGGGAAAAGAAACCAAAGAAGAGAATCAAAATTGATGCAAAAGAGTGAGCTACTGTCTAAGACTGCTCTTATTTTGTACGGGGCTTTTGACTTTTCAAAATGTTGTCGTGTTTCTCATTTAGTTGTTGAAACAACAAATAGGTTAAGTTTTTAAGAGGAAAATAGAATTAAAGTCACCCCACGCCCCATCATCCACACACAGAGCAGCCCAGCCCCGTCCAGGTGGCTGGTGCCCACGCATGCATAGAGCGCCCACACATCTTCACAGCCGCGATATGTCCCCCCTTGGCCTGTTGCGAATGACCTTCTGAAGCATCAGCCCCAAGCGCTCCGGCTCAGCCTCAGAGCTGGTGGCGCTGCTGTCCCACACCTGAGCACCACACTTGGTCTTGCTGGCGACTGGGTCCTTCCCACCTATGCTGCCGTCACACATGCCAACAGGTCCTGCGGGCTGTCACCAGCCCTTGCTACGACAGACCCATGAGCAGGGGCAGCAGTGTAACTGCCTGCCACCCCATCACATCTGGGAGTGGGCAGTGTGCTCAGGCAGGTGGTGAAGGAGCCAAGTACCCACAGGGGCTCCAAGAGTGCCCTAAGTTGGGGGAAGGCACAGGGGCTGGGGGCAGAGTCTGCCTCTTGGTGGTCATGCACCCACATCTCCCAAGTTCTGCTCATTAGCAGGACCCCAGGCTGTCTGTGGCCCCGGGGGGGGGGGGGGGGGGGGGGGGGGGGGGAGCAGCACCAGTCTGCCTCCCCCGGTGACTGGGCGATGGGACGAGCCTGAGCCTAGAGGAAAGGGGGGGGGGCGGGGAGGAAAACACCACAAAGAACAGAAAATCTCAGCAGCGCTGCAGCAGTGAAACACTTTGCTTTTATTGAGGCCATGTCAGTCCTTTGTCTACAGGACAGCGTCTCATGCTCAGCTTCGGCTGGTCCCGGAGGGGAAGCTCATGCAGGCTGTGGTGAGGGGCATATGCGTCCATGTGCAGACGCTGACGAGGGTCTCCTGAACGACAGTCATGAAAGTGTCCACGTGCTCAAATGAAGGCAGAAGCAGGTAACCAACGCAGGAGAAGCAACAGCTTTGTGGGCTCACCTGAGCACCTGGACAGCCTTGACCCTTCACGGACGGACGGCCCTCAGTACCTCATGAGCCATCAGCCCTCACTGAGGCCGGACAGGTGTTTCTGGGGCTGGGGGCTCATCCCCCAGAAGCGGATGCGAAGTGCACACGGCACCGCCAGAAACAGAACGGCTCCCAGCATGATGGGACCCTCGTGCCCTCCCAAGTCCAGGGGACACAGAACCCAATGCACGGTGGGCTGACCTCTGGCTAGATGTCACAGGACAATGACACGCCAGGGACAGACACAGGACCACGGATACACTGCCCTTTGCATTTATATAGTTTATGGTTGATAAAAATGAACATTTTGAGATTCTCTAATTTCACAGAATTGAGATGGGAAAGCCTGCTAATTTTATTTCTTTTGCTAGGTCAAATTTATGATTGGGGCAGACGTTATGTACTTTGGTGTGAAATATTTTTGAAATGAAAAAGATCCATATGTGTTTTGATTTTGAGAAAACAGGTCAGGGCACGCAGCCCCCACAGCATAAGTCCATCCTCAGCTCTGTGTAAACTATTGGAAATTGTGAGGAAAAACACCATTTTTACAAAGAAAGTTGTGATTCTATAATTTGGAAAACAAGTAAATTATTTGAATAAAAATAAATTTCAGAGCAATCAATGCCTTGTGAGCTACTGGCTTACACATGTTAAAACTGTTTCTGATTACAATAATCTCCAAAATAGGAACAGATGATGCAAAGTTCAATTAAGATAGAGAATCGAAGCCGCAGTTCTTTGGTGCCCCTTGGGCGGGGGAAGGGGAGCCTCAGAAGCAGCGGAAGATGCCAGCGGACAGGGCTGGAAGACACAGCGGCACCCCTCTGCCCCCACCCGGGAGACCCCGCAGAGGCCTCACAGATGACCTCCTGCCCGCAGGGCGGCTGCCCAGCAGCCTGAAGACCCAGAGGCCCGTGTCTGCGATCAGCTCTTCAGTGTGAGTCGACAAAACAGAGCAGAGACCCTCTCAACCACCACTGCCGTCAGAATTTAAGGTTTTTCTCAAAAACTCGCATTCTTGGTTGGGCCAAATTTTCTCTCTAAAACCCGGTTAAGGACAAGGGGCTGCAAAATACCACCTCAGGGATCCAGACGCAGCCTGTTACGTACACTGAGCACGGGAAGGGACAGGGTGCAGTGCTGAGGCCCTGATTCATCTCTGGGAGGGAGCGGCATGTGCCCTCTGGCTCACAGGCATCCCGTTGCCCCTGGCCCGGCCTGGCTCCCTGGGAGGCACCACCCCCTGCCCGCCACTCGGCCCCGCCAGGCCCACCCTCCTGGCAGGTCACACCGGCCCACGTGGGGGGTGCCGGCACTAGGCAGGGGCTGCCTACCCAGGGCAGGAGGGGTCACATCCATGTTGACTATTATCTGGCAGAAGGGAAACAGCTAGACATACTGGATAGTGGTTGCACACATATGCAATATATTTCCACTGGATTTTGTAATCAAAATCCACATTTTTTAAAAACTAAGTCCATCTCCCCAATCCCCATTAGAAAAAATACCATTTACAGAGACAAGAATAAAAATGCAGCTCTCACAAGATGAGTGTGAGTGTGCAGAGCCTGTGAGAGGTGGGGTGCGTGACGCAGACACCCCTCCCCCACAGGTGGGGGGAGACCCCAGGCAACCTGACCCGACCGGAGCCTGCCCAGCGCTGGGGGCCGGGGCCATGGTTGGGCCGGCTCAGGGTGAACCACCACCCGCAGAGGAGCCCGGGGGGGTCAGCGCCCCTCCTCTGGACCTGGTCAGCCGTGGCAATGTATACCACCCTTGGCACTCCGGACTGGACCTACGGGACACGCCACGGCAAGGTTCTGTGTGGACACGTGGAAGTGTTGGGAGGCACAGGGCTCTGCTCTGAGCCCACAGGTTGGCCAAGGTGACAAGGGCCACCCTGCTCCTGCTCAGGGTTTTCTGAGCCTGTAAAGTACACAGGACTCCAGGGAACAGCTCAGCACCACACGGATGTCGACACTCTGGACCCTGCTGTGGGCTGGGGTCTGTCCCCGTCTCTGCCTGCCGCACCCACAAGATGCCCCGCTAGTCCCTGGAAAGCGGGCACCGGGCCAGCCGAGGGCAGGGAGCTTCCTCCAGCTCCTCTCTGGTCCTGATGGGAGCAAAAAGGCAATTGGTGCCAATTTTCACACTTAGCCGAGGCGGCTCCCCAGGGTCCTGGGCTGTCGCGTGTGCTGTGGGGTGTGGAGCAGCGCCCTGGGTCCCAGCACCAGCAGCACCCCCTTCCCTGCTGTGATAGTCAGCGTCTAGACCCTGGTCGAGACCCCTCCAGTGACCCGCCTGCTCACCAGCTGACAGCCTGAATACTTATTTTTTAAATAAGTCTTTGATAAAGCTGGAAAGAATGATTTTAAAATATGCCTAAAGTGGCACTTTCTAAGAATGAACATCTACCTATTAACTCTATTTCCATCCTGTGAAGCTCTTTGGACCATCCCTCACATCCCTTAGATTCAGAGGATGGAACAGAGGGAATGTTAGGCTTATTGTGCAGTAGCTGCTATGGATTCCTTTTAGGCCCTAAAAGTTACATACTATGTAAAAACCCAGATGAATGGCCAGGGCCACTACCCCCATGTGTTGTCACTGACTATGTAGAAGTAAACCAGGAGAAGCTGTCCACGGCACGGTCCTACGAGCAGAGAAGCATCTACAGGATGAGGGCAGGGGCACCCCGGAGCAGCAGGCTGCGTGTGCGGGTCTGGCTCTGTCCTGCGGGTGTCTCCTGGGGCGGGCGCCAAGACCTGCTGTGGGAGCCGACCACTGGGAGGGCCTGTGGGGTGGGGGCTGCGTGACCTCTCTAGGCCACAGCTTCCTGGTTCTGTGTTCTCACCTCCCCACATATAAAGGCTCTTTTGTGGCATAGAGTGACCTGACATAATTACTTACTGTATAAACCATGTTCCTAGCTCTGAATAAATTATTTATTCAAGGATTTCACACAAAGTAATTTCTATTTTCCTAAACTTATGGAAGCTCTACTCAGTAGAACTCAATTTCTAAACGTAAACTGAGGTTGAGAGCAGCCACTGGGTAACTGAAAAAGGGAACACTGCCGCAGGGACATGGGGTCGTGCCGGCCTCTCCGGCCCTCCCAGACCACGCGCCTGTCGCAGAGACACCGGTTCACACCGGCCTCCCCGGCCCGGGGCCTTGTCAGCCCAGGTGTGGGGCCTGCGGGCCGTCAGGCTGTGAGGGAGAACTGGTCCTGCTCCGGGGGTTTCTCCACCCAGGCGCCCAGCCCTGCCTTGATGAACGCTCTGAACAGACAGGCCTTGGCGGTCTGGTACTCCTTAGCCGCCAGCTTGGACTCGTGGTACGCGCTGGGTTTAGTGACCTTGGAGCGCAGTGAGTTGGGGGGAACCTGTGGGGAGAAGCAGACACGCACACTGTTTACACAGTAATAGTAGGAAATAAAACAACAGATGTTCAAAAAATGGTGCTTCCCACTGTGGAGGTTTCTGGGGGCCCACCAAGCAGAAGGTGGTCCCACCAAGGGGCAAAGCTGAGCCCCTCCAAGGGGCCGCGTTTCATCCCTGAGGAGCAGTTTCTCAGCTACGGGCAGCTGTCCACCCGGAGTTCTGAAGAGGTGCTTCTGGAAGCCCATGAACAGCTGAGTCCAACTTCAGTACTGAGAGTTCAGCCATTTAGAAACAACCCTGCTGGTGTCGGGCACGTTCTACCTTCCCAGGGAGAACCGCAAGGCCTCGCCTCCCACGGCCAGCGAGCTCATTCGTGCCGATCTCAAGTGTGGACATGGCAGCAGGCTCGCGGTGGCGGTGCAGGTAAGCACCTGCTGTGGGCCTGGGCCAGGCAGCAAGTCCGCCACCCATGCCAAGATCAGCACAGCCTGGCAGCAAGTGTGTGCCACGACTCACTGAAGGCACAGGATAGCAGGCACATGCGGGCTGACTAGAGGCTTTCTCTGGGCAAAGGCTCACCGCCCCAATGGGCCAACGCCTTGATGGAGGCTTGGCGGCTGCAGCGCAGTGCCCAGCAGTGGGCGAGGCCGCCTCCTTCCCACAGGGAACAGCACCTGATGGGCGGCCCTGCCCGATGCCCCAGCAGAGGTCAGGTCAGGCCGGGGCTGGGCAGGGTGGCGGTTGAGGGGGATGGGCTGCGCAGCACCCAGGGCACCTGTACCTTGCTGTGCACACGCATCCAGCGGCAGTACAAGGCGTGCTTGCACAGGCGGGATGCACGGCCCAGCTCATCCTTCCCGGTTGTGGCGTTGATGACCTCGATGGCCGCGTCACCCACCGTCCAGTTGACACTGAAGTTGGGTGCTTTCCCAGGCTGCCGTGCCTCCGCGTTGCTGATGCCTGGAATAGGGGACAGGGCGAGGTGACATGGAGCCTGGCAGACAGGGTGTTGCAGCCTAGGGCTGCCACTTGCTGCAAGATGCGCCTGCTGGTACTGCCCTGGGTGCTGCACACTGCACCCAGCATGTGCCACTCGTCAGGCCTGAGACCAAAAAACCTGGCTTCTTGACGTTTTCTTACCACACTTAACCCCCTTCACCCCAACTCACGGAGGGCTCACTTGGGACAGTTTCTAGAAAGGGCCTCAGATAACTGGGAGCTCACGCCCCTGTCCCCATCCATGTACTGTGCCTCCCTCGTAGCTCCTTCCACATGGGGGACACAGGCCGCCAAAATCGGAGCTAAGTGTTGAGAGTGTGCGACGGCAGGGGCTGGCCCGGTGCTGGACCCAGACGGAGGCAGGCGCAGGCCCGCACGCAGCTCACTGCTTTCCCTGCCGTCTGCTCTAGGGACCGTTTCCTATTCCCTTGAACTAAGTTCAGAACAAGCTGGTGTGGCCAGCTCACTGGTGGCCAGGCTGGTGGGAGGGTGGGAACTTCACTTTAGGAAAAACAGCAGTTTGTCAGGATCAAAAATCAGATGGAGAAAATTCCTATTAACAGGCCACCAAAGTCTCAGGTATTTACTCAGAGGGCCAATGTGTTTGAGGTTCGTCTGTGCCTCTGTGATAGCACCTTCCCCAGAGGGCATGTAGGGAGGAGGCTGGGTGCCCATTCTGCCCAGGGCTCAGACAGGGGAGCCCAGGGTCACCTGTGCCCCTGCACTGCCTCAGGTGGGGGTGTACTTGAACCCGAAGGCTCAGGACTGTCAGGGTGCACAGAGCCTTCCACTGATGCCGGAAGGCGTATCGGGCACTTGCTGTGGTATTAACACTGTGACGGGGGTGTCCTGGGGGCCCCTGGTGCTGGCGACGTTCCCTCGTGGTCACGTGAGCTGCGGCCTGCCCACCTGCCTGGGAACCCACCTCAGTGGGCTCCCTCACCTTATTTTTCTAGTACTTGGCATGTGCATGAACACTTTTTACGTGAGCTGCGGCCTGCCCACCTGCCTGGGAACCCACCTCAGTGGGCTCCCTCACCTTATTTTTCTAGTACTTGGCATGTGCATGAACACTTTTGACTGTTCAGTGACAGATCCCAGGGATGTGCTCACTGTACCCGAGGGCCGCTTGCCCATGGCTTCTTCTAGGGGAGAGGCGGCAGGAGCTTGCAGACGGGCAGGCACCAAAAGCCCGTGTGATGGCAGCCAGCCCTGATCTCTACAGGTTGTGTGTCTGACCAGCCTGAGATCTCACCGTGGATGGTATCGCGACCAGCATGTGCCTTCAGGCCACAAGGCACTAAGCGCACTCGAAAAACACATTGTCCGCAGGAAGACTGCAGATTAAAGGGTGTGCATCCTCTACTCGCCAACCACGAAACTGACCAGTTTCTCCTGATCCATTTTCTGACACGTTATGTCTGCCACAGGGCTGCCTCCAGGGTCTCTTTCTGAACACTCGTGGGGGGCAGTCAGTCAGCTGCCCAGCAACAGGCTTGGGCCTGACTCCCTGACTGGCACAGTGAGGAACCTGGCAGGAAAGGCATTAGGCCCGCAGACGCACAGCGAGGCAGGTGTGCGAAATACAGCCGCAGTGGACATGCGGGACACGCAACTGTGCCACCTGCCCTGTGTTGTGGCCCTGCCCTGGGCAGCTCCCAAGCCGCCTCCCCCAACACCTGCCATGGCCTGTGCCTCAGGAGCACAGGCCCCTGCCAGCCCTGGGCTGTGCCACACCTGCCTCCCACCACGGCTGCTGCACAGAACGCCAGCCGGCTGGCTGACCTGCGCGACCGGAGCCCGGGCCCCAAGCCTGGTGAACCTGACCTGAGGGGCCCCACACTGAGGGGGCGCCGAGGCCCCCTCACCTTTCCATCAGACTGCAAGGTCACCATTTCATTCCAAGGCATGGGCATTTAACTATTTCACTTCACACAAAGATTTTAACTGAGGTGTGACAAATCCCATGTGCACAGCTTGGTGGGTTCTCACGAAGTGCACATACCTGGAGCCAGCAGAGCCCACCGGCGCCCAGAAGCTCCTCCTGCCTCCACTGTCCCCTGCCTGTCCCTGTGGGAAACCATCACACTGACCCCAGCACCGCTGACTGGTGCTGCCCACACTGAACACTGTGACGGGGGTGTCCTGGGGGCCCCTGGTGCTGGCGATGTTCCCTTGTGGTCACGTGAGCTGCGGCCTGCCCACCTGCCTGGGAACCCACCTCAGTGGGCTCCCTCACCTTATTTTTCTAGTACTTGGCATGTGCATGAACACTTTTTACGTGAGCTGCGGCCTGCCCACCTGCCTGGGAACCCACCTCAGTGGGCTCCCTCACCTTATTTTTCTAGTACTTGGCATGTGCATGAACACTTTTTGACTGTTCAGTAACATGCATGCGTGTTTGACAGACACATACTGCAGGGAGGAGACTGGCTGTGTGTGTACTCAGGGCTGCACATGGCACTAAAAATACCAGGCAAACCAGGTCTGGTAGGCTTACAAATGTTTTTCTGCTTAATGTAAAAGTGTCCCAGAAAATCATAAAACAAATCATTAGATGTCTGGCAAGAAGCAGAGAATATCTAACCAACCTGCAAACTCATTTCCCACTCAGTGCAAGAACTCACTTAAAAAAACTGGAAGATCAAACTAAATGTACAAACCAGCTCAACAAAGTTACCTTTCTCCAAAGACACCCCCTGGCTGGGGCTGTGGCCCTCAGCAAGGGGTACTTCCACGGGCCCGAGGCCATGCAGCACACTGTCGCCATCAGACAGCCCGTGCTCTTTACATGACCTCTCCTGTTTCTCCCTAATTTTAAAGGGGTAGACATATTCTCAAAGGCTTGGGGTGAGATAATACAGCTTCTAGGTTAGATTTCACCATTTAAAAGTTAGAAACTTGAATTCTTACAATGTGCACGACAAAACCTCTCCTTTCCTATAGTTTTCACCTCATTTTGATAAAACTGTGAATCAAACAGCAAGGAAAACTTTACCACAGGGGAGCAGGCAGAGCTGCTCAGAGAACTGCCCCAAACTCCTACACGCAGCCCACCCCTGTTCCACTTCCCAAAAGAAAAGAATCGGGAAGAGAGGCCCTAATCCATTTTTAAGAGGCTTTAACCTTCACTACACACTGATCTTGCTGAGAGACACAGATGATGTGTGTGCAAAGGGAGCAGATGAGCGTGTTCACATGGCGTGACCACAGGAGGCTGGTGGGCGCCCTGGAGCTGGCAGGCCGACTGCCCCACGCCCTGCGCGGCCTCTCTGTCTTGGCACAGGTTCTCCTCATCTCTCGTCCCGTCACGGCAGGCACAGTGGCAGACGGGTCTCGGACACCTGCAGCGCTGGTGACACACAACCCTCCTTGGGGTCACCACCCTGCTGCCGGCCCTGCCCTCTGGAGGCCACACACCACACGGCTGGGCAGCCTGGCCGCCCACGCGTCGGCCTGGGGTGAATGTCACACTGCCAGCAGGGAACCGCAGGGTGCTCTGTCTGTCCTGCCGCCCGAATTTGCATCCCCCTTAGGCTCTCTCAGACTTGGGCTCCACCTTCTAAGGAACCCAGACTAAAACATGGGGACGTTAACCATTAACCCAAATTTCCACCAGTAATAATCCCATAAAACTAGCTGGCCTGAACTCCTGGGTGTCTGTATATTGTACAAGAATCAATCTTGATGGAAGGACCATTGTCCAAAGGCCATTCCATGTTTACTGTAACTCAAACCTAAGTTCGGGGCAATGTGGAGCAACCCTGGATTCACCCCACCTAAAATCAACCAGACAGCATGTGAAACACCAATCGTCAGACCCTGGACACTGGCCAGGAAGGACAGTGACTCCTAAGAGGCAGGAAACAAATGAGGTGAGGCTGAGCACCCCGGGAGGCTGCCTTGGGGAGGCTCCGGGCAGCAGGGGTTCCTGGGCACATAGGCAGAGCCTGCACACTCCTTGAGCTGCATTCAGGAAGGCTGAGGTGCAGAGCCCACAGGACAGAAGAGCCCAGGCAAGAGGCTGCAGAGGGGACCCGGGAGCTTCCAGCGGGGACTGACCAGAGCACGCACTGCTCGAGGCCACGAAGACCCACCTGGAAGGCTGAAGGAACACGCACAACACTCACACGGAACAGAGAGAGACAGAAAGGTCTGTAAAGGTATGAAAAGTTTAGGCACAAACTACCAGGGATGAAGGCTACAATATCTGAGGCTAAAATACACTTGACAGGATCAATCACAAAATAGAAACTGTAGGAGAAAGACCAGTGATTTAAAGATACAATCACAGAAACTATCAAAGTGAAACACAGACAAAAAAGAGATTGGAAACCACCCAGAAAATGCATGAGTTGTCAGTAAATCTATGCAGCCTGATATACATGTGATGGGGCTTCCTGAAGGAGAGCGGGGAGGAGAAGGTAGAAAATACGAACAGAATTCCCCAAATGTAATGGAACCAATAAACCCACAGATCTAAGAATCTCAATGAATCCCACACACAAGAAATGTGCAGAAAATGACACCAAAGAACATTGTGACAAACTGCTCCACCCCAGGATAAAGAGATCTTAGGCACAGAGGGGAACAGACATGTCACATATGGAGGGAGAAGCGCAGGTGCAGCAGGGTCCTTAGTGGAAACGATGCAAACAAGACAGCAGGGGAGCGATCTTCAAAGCGCCAAAAAGAAAAGAAAGCCTTGCCACTGCAGCAAAAATATATTTGCCCAAAAATGTATATTTCAAAAATGAATGCAAAATAGACTTTTTCAGACACACCAAAGCTGAAAGAATTCATCATCTGAAGACTTGAACTACAAGGAATATAAAAGGACGTCCTTCAGGCACAAAATGGTACCAGATGGAAATGGGGATTCACACAAAGGAATGAAGAACACCAGAAATGGTGAGTCTTTAAAAGAAGCTAACTAACTGTTGTAACAAAAATTGTAGTGT